AAAAAATAAATGTAGTCGGTGTTATTCACAGATAAATTACCTTTCTACTGGTGAATGAATTTAAAAAATCTGCCCAGTAGTTTTTACGTGTACCAAATACATACCAGAATACAAATCTTTTCTCTACATAATATATGATATGTTTGTCTGTTTGTTTGCAGCAAACGTGGAGCAAGTGGACACACTAAGCGACGTGGCAGCAACCTCGAGGATTATATGTAACTGTAACCCTTGAATCGGTGTAGATATTAGTGAGAAAGAATTATATTATACAGATTATCTATATACATAATAGAGAAAATGTCCTATCGAGATGAGACCCGTACTGTACGACCGACTGAAGTGAAGNNNNGGGCTGCGGCTGGGGCGGGGGCGGGCGCAGCCCCACAGCCCCACAGCCCAACAGCCCGCACTCTATACTATGTGTTACGGCATAATAACATATTCATTTTGGATGATACGCAAACTGGCCGATTATTAAACGTGTATTAATAAATTTGCTTGTACATGAAGATTAAATATCATATATTGATGCACTGTACCTACTGCTGTTTTTAATACCACCTACTCTATATCTCTCTATATTCTTCTCGATTTTTTTTTTGTTTCTTAAATAGGTTTATTTGGGTAATGTGTATATTTAACTTAAATTATTTACCGAGCAGCTGCTTGTCTCGAATACAATGAAACGCGGATTGCGCGGTAAGTTATAGGAAAATAAAGCGATGTCGAAATATAACGAGTTGTTTTTGATGAGAGCCTCCACACTACACTTGTATACAACTAACTTGTAAAAAATAACGTAATTTCATCTAATAATGATAAAAACATGGTCACCTCAGTATTACTGAACTGTAAAAAATTTAAATAAAACCTCAATTTTGCTAGAGGGGCATTAAATTTTGTAGGAAAACAGTGGATAAGATTCTAGAGCCTGAATCATTTGTTTTTAAACGAAACGCAACTAAACACTTTAGAACCTCTACTTATGCACCTTTGTTATACAGTAGAACCTCGATAAGTTAAAGTCCAAGGGAAACACAAAATGTTTTAAGTTATCAATGGTCTATGTTATAGAGGTTTTGGGCTCTGACAAATTTACTTTGAAATTTTAGGCACAGAATATGGTTTATGGATTGCAATTCCCATAATCAGTTTCGAGAGATAAATAAAACATCGTCAATACAGTTTCTTTGTATATTGCAAAAATAAAGATTATAAAATAAATCCTAAAAACAAGAGATTCTATTTAAACAAAAATATGTACTTTACAGTTACAGCTGTGTCAAACACCAAATGAGTTTTTTAAAAATAATTAGATCTCAAAAATAAACCTTTAAACTGAATTAAGAAAATGTAATAAAAATAATCAAATCTAGCGACTTATAAAAATGACGAAATCATAATTGTCCTCTTTTTTTACAACTTGATATGTAGGTGTTTGTAAAGATTCTTTACACAAAAAAAGTAAACATTTTTGATGGGCAATACAAAAAACAGTAATAATAAAACTTAACGATCTTCAAACTTCAGGAGTAGAATATTTACTTAGGTGCGACAGAGATCAAGTCAATGTAAAAATTCTTGCTGCGTACACTTTAGCTGCTCCTGTTGGCGTCACGGCGAAATCCAGCACATTTATAACTAAATTTCTAATTGTAAAAGAATATTTAAAATCTGTTTAAATGAAGACCTTTTCATTCTTGATTTTATAAAATAAATGCCTTTGGAAATCACTGGTTACTTAAAAGGTAATATATTCCTAATTAAAAAAAAAAATAACTACAACTCTGTGTGACGCTGTGCGATCCTCTTGTGCAAATCGTCGTGCATCTTCTCTACCTTTCTGGAATGCTTCTTTATCTGCTGCTGCTGCTCCGCGAACATGTCCATCTTGTCTCCACTAGCTGCCACCTATAGTAAAAATACATTTTTATGTATTGGTCTCTGTCTTCTGTGCTGAATTAAAAAACTCAAAATTCCTCACAAAAAATCTATAGTTACCAAACATCCAGGAATGTTAAATTGTTTTAAGAGTTAGCCAACAAATCATTCATGTAAGGGTTATATTCTAGAATTTTGTACTTTTTTTAGTAAGTAATAAATAATTTATTATTGTCAAAGTTCAAACTGGCAAGATTTTGACATAAAGTAATTTGACAAACAGCACCAGTTTAAAGGATCGATTGCAACTAAAAACACGACAAAAATAAAAGAATATTCTAATGAAGAACAGAACTTAACAACAACGAAATTGAAATTAACAATGTATGTAATCTAATGAAATAAAAAGAAAGCATGACATTACGCGACCTTGGAGTGATGTTTCTCTAGATTGCTTACGTGGTCTGCCTGCAGGTGGCGCAGCTTCAGCAGGCGAGACTCGTAGTGCTGCAGCTCCACCTGACGGACAGATAGACCTTTAAAAGACCCTCTAAATACCTTCGGTAATATCGATCGATAAAATGTATTAAAACGCACAAGAATAAACACGGTACATAAGGAATGTTACTGTCTGTTCCATTTTTGACTTTTCGATCAACGATATCGCTAATACAAAGTTAAATTGCCTACGGCTGATAGCCCATATAATATTGTAAATAACATTGATTTCAATAAAAACAACATTGAACGAAAAATATAATCGAATTGTAAAAAAAAAAAAAAAGATTTTCTTTACTTTGCTATTATTCTTAACCAAAAGTATGTGTTGCATTATTAATACAACAATGTTTCAATGAAATTGTTCCAAATATGTTGAAAACCACAGTGGAATCCTACACTTAGTTAATATTAAATTATAAATTACCTTTATAGAGGCGAGCTCGTCGACCGTGAAGTTGGCGGCGGCGGCCATTCGCCACAAGCCTTGCACCTTCGGCTCCACGAACTCCTTGTTGTTGGGACCTGAAAATATAATTTCGAATTTTAAACAATTATTATGATGTATTGATTCACTATCTTGTCTGACACTGAAATGAAAATAACAATAACTTCACAATAACATAAGTCACTGACCTCTATTAATGGACAGGCTATAAAAATTTACATTTTTGGATTTTGGTACCTTGGCGCTGTTGGCCGCGGATAAAGGTAGTAGTAAGTATTGAAACTAATTAAAAAAATAACTATCATTACCATCAACAGTCGTGTTTAAGTCAGAACAATATAAAACTTCTATCCATTTATACAGATCAGTGTGTTTTAGTGCATTAAGTTTTGAAGATTATGTTTTTTTAATACAAGAAGTGAACTGACCTCTAGCGGAAATGCGCTGGAGACGGTCATATCCGTCGCGCAGACCGCGGTGCTTATCTCTTAACAAGTTGGCCTTATCCACGAAGTCCTTGTTCAATACCTCATTTGTTTCCAAGTTCACTTCATTGAAGTTTACCATTTCTTCATCATTAATGGCATCTAGAAACATAGAGAATAAAACTAGCTTTTCCTCGCGACTCCGTCTGTGTGGAATTAAAAAACAAGAAACAAAAATAAGTAGCCTATGTGTTGTATACCAAATTACATTGAGATCCATTCAGTCTTTTTGGCTACAGACTCTAACAAACATCCTTCCATCCATCTCAATTTTCTCATTTATAATATTAGTAAGATATAACACTTAAGTGTTGCTGTGGTTGCATATAAGAATTATTAATTAATCACTAACAACCTTAGTGCTTAACAGACTCTGAGAGTTTAAGCAAGCCATGTGCTAATGATAACTAAAGTGGTAAAGCATTATTAAACAGTAAAATAATATTAAAACTTGCATACTTTTAAATCCTTCATGTCCTTCTGTCTCCACATTGCCGAGCAAATCATAGTACTGGTCGATCTTCTCCTGGTGGTGTGTGAACTCCTCGCGCAGCGCCGCCAGCTCCTCCGGAGTAAACCCTGATGCCTCCGCCTTCGACCACAGCATGTTCAACTTCTTGTCTTTGAATAAACTGCGGTTAATGTATTCATCCATTGCTGAATTATGCTCCTGTAATGATATAAAAAAAATTATCACATTAATTCATATATTTTAGATAACAATAGCTGTAAAAAAAATATAATATAGTAAACAATAATATAGCCAATCTCCTTCAGTGATAACATAGCTATTTATTGGTAGAAAAAAAAATTCATATAGACCCAATAGTTTTTGAGTTATTGCTATACATACAAAAATACAAACCTTTCCTCTTAATTATATTAGTATACTAACTTTCGCCCGCGATTCCATCCGCGTGGAATATAAAAAAACAAAAGTAAATAGCCTATGCATTCTTTCAGACTATCCTCTACATCTATGCCAAATTTCATCAAGATCCATTCAGCCTTTAGTCTACAAACTCTAACAAACATCCATCCATCTAAACTTTTTCATTTACAATATTGGTATGAAGTAGTTATACTGCATGACTGAATTAAAGAAATAGCATATGTGTTATTCCAGAATGTAATACATCTGTTACAAATTTTATTCAAGTCCATTCATCTTTTAATTAGGAATACTTACCAACCTAGCAGTCATTAGCATGTCACTGTAAAGTTTTACTTACAGAGTCAGACTATGAAATAATCTTGATTCCATAACCTAATCACTAGGACTTAATTACATTGTAAAAACAAGGACCCAGTGTTAGCTTTATAAGGTTTTTATAGTGTTATAAAGTGCAATGAGTCATTAATAATTAATCATTTGGACTTAAATATATGGAGATAAAGTTGTATTGTCAATAAATAAGTCAGCAACTGTTTATGAAATCATGACCGTAATTTAAAAATATGTTCATTTGAAACTGTTGCCATGTCGAGATATTTTATGAGTCTAGTAAATTATAGCTTGTGTGATATGATGATCTCATATAGAATATTAAAAACATAAACTGCTATGGCATCATCATTCTCTTTAATACAAAATGTAAGTAGCAGGGTATGTGTGTATCTATTTTAAGATAATCTTCAAGTATTTACTCTATTTAGTTAGTAAAAAAGGGTTGCCACATCAGCTGTCCATTAGATAAGGACAGAGATATGATGATGATAGTAACTTACTGGGTCCATTTTCTGTCTTCCGATATGCTTGTCATCGAAATGCTCTCTCAATCCATACACATTCATGATAT